ATCACTATAATTACAATTCTGTGTGCTCACAGAATTGTAATTATAGTGATATTATATTTTATATTAATGAGTAAAATGTGTGTTTTTCATAGAAAATACATCAGAAAACTTACTTATCTACTGATGAACTAAAACACATATTTACAAATGGGCGTTTGTTCTCTTGTTTTGAAGGTTTGTTGCGTCAAAGCAAATCAAAGCAGCCAATCAGAGGAACCCGTGTAGGACGTTTGCGCATTTGCGGTACGGAAAAAATAGACGCCTCCCGCCCTTCTCGCTCTTGTTCTCGCGCACGCTCTGTCGTTATCTCTTTCTCTCCCGCCCCCCTCTCTCTCTCTCTCTTTCTCTCTTCTTCTCTCTCCTCCTCTCCGCTTCGCTGGTCTTTCCTCCTCCTTCTCCTTCTCCCAGCGCACATATACGCACCAGTGGAAACTCCACAGAAGCACAGACGGCACCGAGATGGCCAACTGTAGGTGGCGCCAGTTGGGCATCAGGTAGGAGCCGATGGCGAGCAGGGCGACACCTAGCGACCACGTGTAGCCTCCGAGGAAGAAAACGCCGAAGATGCGAGCGTTGGACGGCAGCCATTCGGTGCGCAGCACGAAGGCCGTGATGCCCGACGCCTACGCCGCGTAGCGGCAAGCAGCAGCAACAACACAAGATCAACAACGGAGCGCAATTTTTCTCGCGTTTTTTTTCCTCACGTTTTTTTTTTAAGTTTCCACAAAAGAGTCGTATTGAATGAGCACAACTGACTATAATGCAGCTCCATTGTTCTGCGCTGAACCGCTGTGCGATTGTCGTTGGGCGAAAGTGCTAGAGTTGTGTAGCATTATAGTTTCTACAGGGAGGTAAACATCACGTCACGCCGCGGGGCCACCGTGGTATGCTGACAGGTTTTGCCAGAGGGCTGGTTATCTGGCGATCTCTGAGTGGGCCCGGTGAAATCCGAATGACACGCAGTTATTAGCAGCATGTGAAGGCGTGCAGAGTAAATACGGTTAAGGAGGGAATAAAAAGCCCCTGAACCCTTGTGGGAAAACCCTCGTGGAAACTACGTTATGACGCAGTGCGAATATATACGGCTAGCCAACGAATTGCGATTATCAGATAAGAGTGCGCGTGTTTGTTATACGCAATGCTGCGTGTGCAATACGCAATGCTGCGTGTGCGTGCATGTGTGTGCGTGTGGGTAACTGTGTACGCGTGTGTGCGTGTGGCGTGTTTGCGTCCGTACGTGCGCCTACGTGTGTGTTTGCGTGTATGCGTGCGT